CCCGCATATGCGGACTGTCCGCTGACCTGGCTCGATGCAGCCCACATCGTACGTGCCATTGTTGCAAAGGCTGCATCGCATGCGGATTCCAGCTCGCGCAATTGGATGACGATGGCCGCGGATATGACACTGCGAAGACGGCAGTTGTTGAAAATATCTCCCCCAGGCAGTCGCAAAGATGCACACACCTGACGAACATGTCGCGCTCTGCCTGAAGACTGACGCGTTCCTTGAATTCCTCATCAACTTTCTCCCTTATCTTCTCCTCCAGCTACAATATAAGAAATATATGAGCCATCGTCGCGACGTCTTTCGTCAATGAAGACATACCTCAAGCGCTGTAGTAAGACAATAATCAGCAGTGTTTATGAGCATACAAGCGTGCTTCAACTCCTGGGGGTCAAAACGAGTGTCCGTTGAACGGCGTGATTGAGTTTGCGACGGCGCTCTATGGGTTTTCTCTCGGATTAACGGGGAAAAACAGCAAATGAAGTCAACCTACCGTCTGAGACTTGCGATCAACACATCCTCTACATCATCGCGATATTAGCCTACTTATGTTGTCAATTCAAAAGAAGACAACTCGCCTGCATATATCCTCAGCCACTTCTTATGCAAAGTACACAAGTCAAACAATGCCTGGCCCCTCGAGAGCTTCGCACACTGCTCTAGACTCTGGGCATAGAAGTAGAACAGATCCGTCGAGGAGGGCAGCACGAGCATTGGCGGTTCCTCTTCTGCGGAGCCTGCGTTGGAACTTGACGCATCGAGTGACGGCCGCGGCGGAGGTACCTTCCTTTTGGACTTGCGATGTGGGGCAAGCATGTCTGCAAGCACTCTGATGGACGAATAAGTACGCGTATCGGAAGTGCAAAGGGGCAGGTTACTTGTCCTGTGCATCGACGAAGATGCTCATATGATGTTCGAAGGCGGCGGAGATAGGTTTGGAGGGGACTGCGTGTGTGCCTGCTACAGTGTCGAGGATGACTTGGAACTAGACCATGCAATGTGAGTCTGAGGAGGTAGAAAAATGAAGGGAAGGAAGTACATTCGTGGCCCATTTCTTAGACAGTGAACCCTCAAACTCGGTGGTTATCTGCAGGTTGTCAAGGAGCGTCTTGACAGTGAGCGACGCCCCCGCCTTTGCAAGAAGCATCGTCAGATCGTCGCTGTGTGCACAGACATCAGCTTCAACACGGTAGCCATCTTCGTCCCCCATGACGTACCGTGTGATATCGACGAACTTCGCCAGGAGACACCACCCGACTTTCCACTCAGCTGGAAACACCCTGCCCTGCTCTATTTCGTGAGTCTGCAGCATCCGCCGGAACCACGCAAAGCGGCGGGACAGATTGTCGAGTTGGCCAGCCTCATCGGTTGCGCGGAAGATGCGGCGGTATTCCTTCAGCTCCAGCGCAACGTAACGGTCGATTAGGTGTGTCCGGAAATCGGTACCGAGGACGTCTACGACGAGGCAGGCGTCGGTAATTTGAGGTGCTTTAATGGCCTTGGAAGTATCTTGTAGGATGCTGCGAATAAGCGTTTAGTGGTTTACCAAGAGTTGTAATGGGAAGAGCACGCACAACGCGTCGAAGTCAGCATCGATCTGATTCCGAAGTTCTCCTTGAATCTCTTGTATGCGCTTCCACACCTGCGCTACCCGTTGCACGGCGGTGTATGATTTGAAGGTCACAGCGATCTGCTTCACGGCCTGGAGACATACTTGTCAGGTTTCCGATGGAAGATAGATGTCACACAAGACAGACCCACAGCAAGAGTTTGCGCAACCTCGCTGTACTTCTTCTCCCGGACGAGTTCCTCCAACTGCGTGAGCGCGTTGACTGGAGAGAAACGCACTGTAAGTAACACACTGCTACGGAGCACTGTCTGAATGTACGCACCGAGCATTTGCAGGCGCTTTAATGTGGTCATGCTGAGAATCAGATTCTTCTTTGCTGTGTCCAACACTTGGATGTCCTTCGTAATATTGCGCACCACAGCCTCTGATTCTGTGGCCTTTTCACGAATCCGGGACATCTGGCCAAGTAGGTCCTGGAAGAGCAGCATACAGCTTTAGACAATATTCCCAATGTAAGTGTGACGGAGCGCACCGAGATCATCTCTTGGATGAGCTGCATCCTCTCTGGATCCTGGCTTCGTCTGAGCTCTCCCTGTAGCACATTTATCTCCGTCTGCAACTCCCGCTGTGTTTCCGCCAGTCGCGTGCTGACCGCGTCCAAGTACACCAGCGACGTCTCTGTTCATATTCCTAGTCAGTATTAGACAGATATGCCGACTTCCAGCCCACTTGGGAGGAATAGAGTCTAAAAGCACTGACATACCATCAGGAAACAGGTCATTGAGCACCGATATAGGGCTGAACGCCGTAGACAGCGTCAGATCATCGAAAGGGTCTCTTTCCACATCGCCGTCGTGGAGTTCTAGGACACGCTGAATGGCGAGGATCACCTCGTGTGGTAGCTCGTCATTGTGCATGGCAATGGCCAGGATTCATTCCAGTGAGTGGCAGTGACGTGAACTTGAAATCAACTGACTAAACCATAAACAGACCATAACCCTACTCTCGGGTGCCTAGTCGGTAGACTACCAGTAGATTGGCAATCTACCACCATCTGCTCGTACAGGATTGGATTGAGCCATTCATGCCGGGGAGTGCAAACTAGTTTCTAGCTCAATTCCATGGCACCCGATAGTCCCCAGGTTGTGCAGACGTATACCAATCAGCCTACGTACTCGTGTGCCAAATGTGCTGCTACCATTGTGCGCCGATCACCATATCCTTTGCCGAGATGGCAAACTCTGAAGCCTTGCGCTGGGTTTATAGGCTCTCCAGGATGAACTAATCAGCAAATCATTCTCGGGGCGGGATGGTCGGGGCTAGTGAGTGCCACATCTTCGTGCAGACTTCGAGTCAACTTCGCTGTAGCCTCATGAATTCAGCGGAGAATGTCAGACTCGGGAAGCGTGAAGACCGTTCGTTGCTGTAAGCCACCGGAAATTCCATTACTTCTGATAATGGAAATCATGCTCTATAGGACGGGAATCCACACTGTCGCGGATGTCTTCTGTATAGGATGCAACTGCCGATTAGGCTGGTTCTATCACAAGGCGAACGAGAATTCACAGAAGTACAAGGAGGGTATGTTGGAGCTGCTTCTCTCCAAAGGATATGATTGATCCAGCACACAGGGAAGTATCTGCTTGAGCGGGAGAAGCTTATCAAGGAGAATGCGTGGAAACTGGACGATTGATCCATCTTCAAGAATCCTGGAACATATATATGTAAGATCGATGTAAGATACAACCTTTGTTCACTGGCGGAGGTCGAGGGACTTGCTGGTAGGGACGTGCGAGATGAGAATGACGACCATATTGCCCCACGGCCCCACAAATCAATGACGGTGTCGCCGGAGGTGGTGATCCCTGGAGCAGCCGGGAAGCGGACGGCAGAGGCAAGGATTCTGACAAGATCGGAAGTCGCATCACTCGTTGTGATCGTTTCTTTAATCAGGAGCTAGATATCCTGAGCCCGCGCAGGACCTTCTGGCTGCCTCTGGGAGACTATCAGGAGTGTTAGAAAGCCAGAGCCAGTACAAAAAACCATCGTGACACGCACTTGTTGACTGCTTCGATGACCGACCAATGCGCCTACGTGATAAACACCCCATCCCCAAGCCCTTCGTCGACCAGCTTGTCATTCCCACAAAATACAACATGTCCCACATTGCGCACAAAGAGGGGCGGTAGACGAGATTGCACCGACTTTCGTTTGCCTCGGGTTCTTGATTTTCCAGCACTTGTTGCTGGAGGATGTTCGACGTCCATGGTGATATCGTCTATGGTGGTGGAAGGGGTTTCGAAGGCTGTGGATGCGGAGGCAGAGGAGATTACGCTTTGGGTAGCCGTGAGGCCTTGTGCGCTGAGAACGGGAGGGGCAGGGATGCGGCGAGAAGTGTTGCAAGCCGTGCAGGTGTATACCATCGTATGTCCATGTACCGGTGACTCTGTCGATGGTTGATCAACAGCTACTGGAGAGAAGACGACAAAATGAACATACTTTTGACGCGCACAGACGCCGTTGAACCTGGGATCAGAGTCAGATTGCAGCCTTTGCATAGAGTACGCTTCACAGCGGGATCGCTAAACGAGATAACAAGGGTTTGAAAACGAGTTCCACTTTGATAAATCGGAGGCACGTACATTTTGACAGTCGTCTTTTGCCCAACGATTTTCATCGTGTCAATATACGTTCTGGAGAGATCTCTGGCCGTCACCGTGCGTTTCGCCGCTTTCGCGTCCTTCATCCCCTTCATCCCCTTCGTCACTTTATTATCATCGGTGGTAGCATGCGCGTTGGAGCCGTTACTGCTCAGGAGACTGGTACTGTCACTTGAACTGGGGGCCGATGGAAGTGTACTGAGATAGACGCTCGCTTGGTATAGAAAATTGAGACGCTGAATGATATCGCGGTTCGCGACGCTGCTCGCTGTGGGAGCATCGTCTTTGCCCTTCTTCGCCATACTTAGTCGGTTGAGCAGACGGTTGAGAATGAATCCCGATCTCGCCGGGGCGGAGATTGATTTGGGTTGAACCTCCGGCCGAAGAGATATACATATACCATCTTCTTCAATCTATCAATTTGGGGTTACCACAAAGTTCTGAGCGAAGTTCTGCAAAAAAACAAGGGCCTCACTGGGAGTTGAACCCAGGACCTCCTCGAGTCAAGGAATGCATCCCCAAACGAGGAATCATGCTACTAGACCATAAGGCCTTGAAAGCACACATTCAGACCAAGAACAAGGTCCAAAAACGAGGAAAAACGGAGCACAGGATCATTTTTTAAAAGGCATCAGCACAAATTGCCTGGAATAGTGTGTGCAGTTCAAATGCAGTCCACAATATGTGGTTCACTCAAAAATCATGGAAGCATTAAAGCCAGAGATGGCAGCTTGCAATTTGTATCGATTCACAGATTTAAAAAACTTGCAACCCAGGATAAGACACAAGTTGGGTACAAACACAAAGCAACCTGCAGATACAAATTTAGCAGGCTAATGCTCATGAGGGAAGAACCAAGGAGTGGTATTTTCCTTATATGCTGCTCAGTTAAAAGGACAGAGAACCTAATTGCTTGAAGATCAATTAATTATGTCGAACAAAGTGACAAAGATCACAACTTGAACAAGAAGTTGAGAGGCAATTTTAAACCAAAGAGAGACCACAGATTTACTACCATAGACATGAAAAGGGGGAGAGAGGAGGGTGGGGGAGTGGATTGTGTCAGTGTCAGTGCATGAAGTGTCATTGAAGTCCTACTGAGGTTGATGAAAAGACTTCTTGAACATGTAAAGCATCTGGCAAACAGCCAGAGCCCAGATGGCAAAGTCATCAACAATGTTTCTTGTTTTCCAATAGAAAAGGCAATTTTGATGTTGCCAAGTCCAGACAGCCCTGTCTTGGATAATTGAACAGCTGTGAAAGGGTTGAAATTGTGGCAAAATGCTCCAGCGGAGGGGCATAAGGTGGGCATGCAGTATCCTCTCCCAACAGAGCTTGTACGTGTAGCAAAACAAACCAGCAATTGCTGTCAACTCATGAGGAACCTATGAAAAGGCCGTGTGGTTTAAGGTTTTCGAGCTTGTTTCGAGGAGCTTGGGAGCCACTGATCATACTTACCCTCTGATCCGATCAAACTGAACGCCACACAACATGCTCCACGTCGCGCAGCATTAGGTTAAGTCGTCGCACAATTGTGGCCATTGCATTTCTCTGCTAATCATCTCAGGCTCCACTCCGAGTCATTTGAATTTGGCGACTCTTAACCCTGGCAACACATATGAAGTTGGAGGGGAAAGCTGGAGGCAGTCATAATAAAGCCACAATAGGTCGGAGGGGCAATGGTGGCTTTAACTGTTGAGCCAACTTCGCAAAAAGGTTACCTGTGGAATCTTCCTAGATGCTTATTTGTGCCAGTGCA